ATATTATTTCTCAAAACAAGACAATATATTTTGCTTGTCTAGAAAATGCTTCTTGATGTAAGAAATTTTAGATATTTAGACTAGAAACAAGACAAAAAAAATCTAAGCAAGAAAAGCATTTTTTGCAGTGTAATTATGAAAAAAGCCTTAAGTTATAAACAGCATATGTAGAACAACTGACTATTGAACGCATTCAAAAATTCCTTTAAATAATCAATGATTTTTTGATATTCTCTGACTGGATGAAGTCATATATTCTAAAGAACAAAAATACCAGCATTTGTGCCCAGTTTTTCAGTGAAATCAACTTATATCTCCAGACTTTTAGCAAGTAGTAGTCAGCTTGTGTTCATTCAGTAAATTGGGTCAAAAAAAATCTGGGCAAAAATCATGTAGTATTTCAGCCAAGTGTAATACTGTTTTGGTTGTCTGCTTGTCTCCCTGCTTTTTTTCTTCCAGTTTGGCTTCCCTTTCCAGCACCCAAGAGTGGATTTGAAGACTTTGTGTGATTGATTGTATATAAGTGCATTGGAATGCAAGGATCCACTCTGCTTTTACTGAAGTGATCAGCTCACATCTTGGTTATGAATAGCAAACATGTGGACTTTAGGGTGGATGCGACTGGAAAGAAAGATACTGGCAAGAAACTTGTCCTGCTGAAACTTGAACGTATTTTTTTTGTCAAGTGTATGTTTGAACATAGACTGCTTGACCTTTTGACTCTGTTGGAGAAACGCAAGAAAGCGATTCACGTTTGTGGGTGTGTGTGTGTTTTCTTAAGAGGGTGTGCCGAACACGTCTGTGTTCTGGAGTCATTTTGCAGTAGTTTAGAGTTGCCTTTAAATGAACCAGCGAAGCAAGACATCCTTAGGGATTGTTTATAGAATTTGCTAATTTATTTGTACAGAGTAGACATGTTGTGGGATTGTATTTTAGAATAGTTTGACAATTTTTCGAGCCAGCCTCATTAGGTGCACGATATTCTGATTTTTCTGTCACAATAGTGTTAGATTATACAATCTGTCTTGGATTTGGCATATATTGCTCTGTGTATTATCTCTTTGCTTAACACGTCTCTTATTTCTTGGAACTGTCAGCCATAAAAGACAGCAATGGAGCTTGGTAATAATGTATTTGACATGATTCAAATGTTTTTGGAAAGGTTTTGAGAAATGTGGCAGCATTCTATTTCATCGCTGGAAGGTTAGATTTCATGTTTGTTAGATGTCATTTTCTATTAGTGTTCTTTATCATCACATAATCAATGAAATGCAATAAAATGATGTTGCGGTTGTTTATCTTTGTCCTTATTATGGTATAACGACAGCTAATGACAAACCAACTACATTGCTGATGTCTTTCAAATCACGTCACACATGATTTTTTTTTCTTTTTCAAATTTTTCCCAAATGATGTTTAACAGAGCAGGGAAACTGTATTAAATAGTATTTAATTATTAGTATTTAACATTATAAAGTTTTTTTTGTTTTATTTCAGCTAGAATAAATGCAGTTTTTAAGGTCAATAATATTAGCCCTCTTAAGCAATATTTTTGTCTACAGAAACTCTGTTATACAATGACTTTCCAAATTACCATAACTTAAGCATTTAAAAACAGCAAACTAATTACTAAAAAAAAACTATTAAAAATTAGTTATTAAAATTATTTGGTTGAAATTAGTTGAAAAAGATCTTTCCGTTAAAACATATACGCGGGCTAATATTTCTGACCTCAACTGTATAGGCCAATGCAACATCGCCATCTATTGGTTGAAGTGTGACACTACGCTATTAAAAGTTTCAATTTAAAGGGATAATTCACCTAAAACAAGAACATTTCCTCGCCATTTACTTTTACTAATGTGGTTTCAAACTTTATGATTTTTTTTCTTCTGTAGGACACAGAAAATATATATTGAAGAATTTTGGAAACCAGCAGCCATTGACATCCATACCCATGAAAGATGGAAGTCAAGCCTCGACTGAGTCAGTTGGCATTTCTGTGTGGAGTTTGCATGTTCTTCCCACATTTGCGTGGGTTTCTGTCGGGTGCTCCTGTTTCCCCCACAAGTCTAAAGACATGTGGTACAGGTGAATTGGGTAGGCTTAATTGGCCATAGTAGATACGTGTGAATTAGTGTGTATGGATGTCTCCCAGTGATGGGTTGCAGCTGGAAGGGCATCCGCTGCGTAAAACAAATGCTGGATTAGTTGGCAGTTCATTCCGCTGTGGCGACCCCAGATTAATCAAGGGACTAACTAAGACAAAAAGAAAATGAATGAATGAAAACAAAAGTTTTGATTCCAATCCATATATCAGGCATGTCCAAACTCAGTCCTGGAGGGCCGGTGTCTTGCAAAGTTTAGTTTCAACCCCAATCAGACACACCTGTGCTAGCTAATCAAGCGCTCAGGCTTTCTACATCCTTGCAGGTGTGTTGAGGCAAGTTGGAGCTAAAATCTGCAGGACACCAGCCCTCCAGAACCGAGTTTGGTCACCACTGCCACATATTGGCATGAGCATCAATCGATTGCTGCAGATTTGTCAGCAGCATCCATGATTCAAACATGCCATTCCTGAACATCCTAGGTGCTCTGAGAACTTCTGGCTCTGGAGTCAACCTAAGTATTTGTGTACTAGAAACCTCTCTGAGGTTATCTGAGATTTGTGACATGTCATCATGGTCATGAAGAGATGGACATGATCAGCAACAACACTCAGGTAAACTACAGCATTTAACTCGTACATCCCACAAAAAAAAAAAAAAAAAAACATAGTAGGAAAAAATTGTGCGTAGTATATCTGAACCAGATAAAAGTTTGTTATAGGCTACTATAATGAAGCATTTACAACTCTTTGTTAATGAATGCTACAGCATATTTTATTATTGTGAACCGATAAACTGTAATTAATACTATACTTTAGTCTTTTACTGGTGTGTATATCCAGTTAAAGAATTTGTATTTATTTATTTTTTTATCCATACAATTTACGGTGAAGAAAACTGTCAGCGCTGGTTGCCAGAAATGTATTCTTTAAAAATATGATGAATCATCACAAACATTTTCGAACAAGCAGAGAGACATACTAATGTATAGAAGGTCACACAACTAAACACCATGCAACACTTAAAATTAAAGCAATGAAAAAGTATTATCAAAATCAAATAAACACATAACCGATAAGAAAAAAGAGCCATAATAATGTCAGCAAAAAAGGATAAAATGTCATGCAGAGAATTCAGTAAAATTTAAATTACAGTTATTGACCAGATATATTAAGGAAACACTGTTAACAGCTAACATATTTTACTGTAGCATTTTTACAGTTGTTTACCATTGAAATTACAGCCATGTTACAGTTCTTGTTTAACCATAGTTACAGAATTGCCACAACAGTTTCACGTGGATATGAGGCCTATAAAATTGAGAGGGGTCTGGATGCAGACCTGGTGCAGTGCAATCTGAGCTGCATCCAATATTTTTTAATGGACTCACCTAACCCCACCCCTAACCCTAACCCACACAGTGATGTCACTCGCTCCATTTGAGTGCATTGTGTCTGACATTGCATCGCTGAGTGATGCAATGTCAGCTTGCATCATAAAGGCTGCATCCAGAATCTATTAAAAAAAATCTACACACCATTTCACCAGCAGCACAAGCCTGAACCACAGATGCAGGTTGGATTCATGCTTTTTGTATTAACACCCAATTTTTACCCTAATCTCCCAATGTTGCAGAAGAAACCAGTATTCTTCAAACCCTGTAACCTTCTCTCAACCATCTTTTGCATGTGTGAATTGTAGCTTCAGTTTTAGCAGACAGGGTTGCTTCTCTTCTGCTGTTGTTGCACATCTGCTTCAATGTTAGATGTTTTGTGCATTCTGTGTTGCGCTTTAGCAGCCCTTGGTTGTAATGAGTTCTCCTTTACATTTGCCTTTTTATCAGTTTGAACCAATCTGGACATTCTCATCTTACTTCTGGCATCTACTGGCATCTACAAGGAATCTTTGCTCATAGAATTGCCACTCTTTTGAAGCTCTCTCTTCTCTCTTCTCTCTCTCTCTCTCTCTCTCTCTCTTTCTCTCTCTCTCTCTCTCTCTCTCTCTCTCTCACATTTCACATTTCACATTTTAGGTGCTTTATTGGCATGACAAATAGCTGTACATTCGTATTGCCAAAGCAGTGCAGCGTCGCTGTCTACAGACAAGACAGTGCAAAAAGGGCAGTAGTGCAAACAAATATGAACATAAAATATAATATAGAAATAAAGAAAAGAAATGTAAAAAAAGTGGTGACAATAATATAAACAGTAAGTCCACGAGTAAAGAGTTTCTGTGTTGTGTGTTGGAGACAGTGGAGCGGATCATTGTGGGTTCCTCAGTCGGTGGCAGGAGTGCACAAACTGAGCTGCTAACACACTCTCTCTCTCGTCTCTGTAGAACCTACATGGTTGTCCATTAAAATTCAAGAAGCTTCGCACAGTTTGCGAATAATATATATATATATATATATATATATATATATATATATATATATACATATATATATATATATATATATATATATATATATATATATATATATATATATATATATATATATATATATATATATATGTATATATATATATATATATATATATATATATATATATATATATATATATATATATATATCTATCTATATATATATATATATATATATATATATAAAAACATATATATATATATATATATATATATATATATATATATATATATATATATATATATATATATATATATATATATATATATATATATATATATATATATATATATATATATGTATATATCTATATATCTGTATCTGTTTTTTTTTTCTTTCTATAGTTTAAAAAATTGATGTATAAAAATAGATTAAAAAAATAAATTTATACTGGAAAAATATGATTGAAAGTCCACATTAAAACTACTCAAATATTTCCAGTGCTTAGTTAGGTTTCAGCATTACCAAAAGCACACCGCAGGCACAA